AAGGAGTTTAGGATATGGAAGTTGGTAATGGGATTTATGGTGAAGGCAAGTTTGCTTTATGGGGGTAAATTAGTTCCTTTTCTCGTTTTTGGAAATGAAGGGAATCTATAAAAATATTTTAATTGATGGCAATTGTTAATAATAATTTAATTGTCTGGTTTGTTATTATTGGGAAAAATTGTGATGTATATTTAATTATTTATGAAGTTTAATAGATTTCATTCATTCGCTTATGTTTTATATTTTCTAAGAAAGCTTGGAATTGATAGGGAACCGTCTGTCGAATGCCATTCCGATTTTATCTCGATAGTTATCTGTGGAGGAACGAACAATTATCTGTCGATAATTATATTCGTGTAATCGAATTTCGGATATTTTGCATTCTCTTTTTTATTTCGGGAATAAAATGTTTTGTTTTTTGGAGGGACGGGAGGGTTAAGGAATTAGGGTTTGAAGAAAGTTGGTAATGGGATTTATGGTGAAGGTAAGTGTGCTTTATGGGGGTTAATTAGTTCCTTTTCTCTTTTTAGGAAATAAAGGGAATTTTTAGAAATATTTTAATTAATGGCAATTGTTAATAATTTAAGTGCCTGCTTTGTTTTTATTGGGAAAAATTGTAATGTATATTTTATTATTTTAAATTTTAATTATTTATGAATTTTAATAGATTTCGTTCATTCGCCTATATGTTTTATATTTTCTAAGAAATATAAATTGCATAAAAATCTTATTAGAAGACAGATAGTATGAAAAGAATGAGCAAAGTTTACTTTGTGTCGCATTAAAGCTTTGTGCTCTCGTGAAAATTTCCTCGTTTCAACTTGCAACTTTTAATTAAATATTTTTCTGTATTAAAATACAGAAGGAAGAAGAACATAATTAAATTGCATTGCGGGACAAAAATGAATGACAAAATTTGCTAGCATTCGCATACTATCCTCGTTTTCATTTAGGCTATTAATTAAATTTTCCTACATTTAAATACACCAAAAAAAGAAATTTAATTTCACATTCTCTAAGTCTGAACAAAATTTTCTAAAATTTCACATTTTCTACATTTCCGCCTAACACTTATCACTCACGATAAAAGGTACTAAATATAATTAATATTTTTAAAATAAATACATTTAATTAAATATATTAATTATATAAAATTCTATAGGGTCTTATTGTGCCATCATTTAATTTTAGCATTTTAACTAAAAATTTAATTTCATTTTATATATTAGAGACAGTATATATTTTATTAATTCTTTCATTCCATTCTTCAATCAAAAGACAATTGATTATGCACCGTCTCTCGTCTCGGAAGTAGCGAAGGATTTATCAATTATTCATCAAAAATCATGATCATGAACATCCTCTGAATCTGAAAAGTTCCATGAGCACCTCGGAAATCAACCCAGGAAAATCCCCAATTTCCAACGTAAGCCCAGCTGCTGCCTAAAGTGCCCATAGATCCTCGCAGACCCGTTATTATAAAGGCGTGGAGGTCTCTAACCATTGGTCCCTAACCTGGGCCGGATATAAAAACGGTCTAGGGTCGAAAACGGTTTGCAGTGAGTCGAGGTTAGCCAAAAATCGGCTTCGTGTACGCGTACCAACCGATCGGTCGCCCCTCTACCAACGCAGAGCATAGCGACAACAGAGGCTACCTTTCCCGATAGCTCTGTCGATTGTTCAGTGTCAGCCAATCCATCGTCGGTGTAGCCTCGCAGCTTGTGCTGGGTCATTCGATCATCCACGCAGCTGCGAGTTCCCATGATCGTCGCGAGTGTGCTCCGAGAGATCGTCCATCGATGACGGTGTTCGTGATAGTTGCACGAATCTTTTCTCAGTTTTGACAGAGTTCCTGGCCCTACCAGAGAGTGCCAATGATGGCTTGACAGTGGTTAGAAGACTGGCGAAGAAAAATTTCTCAGACTTGACAGAGATCGACTGTTCTCCTGATCAGAGAACCTGGGAAGCTTCTCATCCTCGGAATGGGAGGCCTGCCTACCTAACTTTTTGACAATTTTGACGCTCCTTTGACGAGGTATGAAATTGGATTAGTAAAAAACACTGTGATTCGAAGTAGTGGAATCTTAGAAAAGAAGAAAATTCAAAGCAGTGGGATCTTAGAGAAGAAGAAAATTCGAAGTAGTGAAATCTTAGAAAAGAAGAAAATTCGAAGTAGTGAAATCTTAGAAAAGAAGAAAATTCAAAGCAGTGGGATCTTAGAGAAGAAGATAATTCTAAGTAGTGGAATCTTAGAAGAGAAGAAAATTCAAAGTAGTGGAATCTTAGAGAAGAAGAAAATTCGCAGCAGTGGAATCTTAGAGATGCCAATGATGGCTTGACAGTGGTTAGAAGACTGGCGAAGAAAAATTTCTCAGACTTGACAGAGATCGACTGTTCTCCTGATCAGAGAACCTGGGAAGCTTCTCATCCTCGGAATGGGAGGCCTGCCTACCTAACTTTTTGACAATTTTGACGCTCCTTTGACGAGGTATGAAATTGGATTAGTAAAAAACACTGTGATTCGAAGTAGTGGAATCTTAGAAAAGAAGAAAATTCAAAGCAGTGGGATCTTAGAGAAGAAGAAAATTCGAAGTAGTGAAATCTTAGAAAAGAAGAAAATTCGAAGTAGTGAAATCTTAGAAAAGAAGAAAATTCAAAGCAGTGGGATCTTAGAGAAGAAGATAATTCTAAGTAGTGGAATCTTAGAAGAGAAGAAAATTCAAAGCAGTGGAATCTTAGAAAAGAAGAAAATTCGCAGCAGTGGAATCTTAGAGAAGAAGAAAATTTAAAGTAATGGAATTTTAGAAAAGAAGAAAATTCGAAGTAGTGGAATCTTAGAAAAGAAGAAAATTCTAAGTAATGGAATCTTAGAAAAGAAGGAAGAAATTATAATTGAATCTCCTCTATACAAAATAATCATTCCTCCACTGTAAGATCTTCATCAAAGAAGCTTCCAAAAGCCAAGCCTTCCTCAACAAAGAAAATCGAATGAAAAGATCGATCGATCCCAACAACTCGATTCCAATCGATGAAATATCCGATTACATTACACAAGTGACATTTCTCTATTCCCACAATTTATCAAAGAAATCGAAGAGACTCGGTGTTGAGGTCTCTTCGTCGACGATCTAGAGCTGCGAAGAGTTCTCATAGGAGGAGAACTTCTCCGAAGGAGGGTTCGTATATCTGGCCGTAAGATTCCACGGTCGCCGAGATAACCGGTCGACGAGTCTCGAAGACGTCTAACGTCCTGGCCCGGGTCAGCGTCGTTGATAATTTCATGCGGAATTCTCGTGCCGATAAGCTCGCAGATTCTAGGGGCAGCCCTTCGACTCGAATACTCCTCCACCGATAAGCCGATCTTCGTTTCAGATAACCGGGGATGCAATTGTTCGAAGGGAAAGACGCGAATGGAGAGCACACTCGTTGGACTTGGTACTCGATCGAGCGTACAATTCTGCTGGGAGATCGTTAAGGGCTGACGAGGTTTCGAGGTTTGGAAGAAGCTGGAAGATTACAAGGATCAGAGAGGGAAGATTGTTCTTTCATAAGCGAAGATCGATATTCTCGTGGATACGTTGTTGGCGGGGTTGATTTGAAAAATTGACGATTCGAGAGGTTAATGAACTTGAAGAAATCGAGAGTAGAAGGATCGTGGAAGATCGGATGATTGGAAACGTTGGAACTTTTACTGGTGCTTTCGTTTCCTGGTTGTCGAATTAAGGAGACTCTGAGAAAGGAAATTGTTGAGATATTTCTATTGAAAATTGTTGAAATATTTCTATTGAAAATTGTTGAAATATTTCTATTGAAAATTGTTGAGATATTTCTATTGAAAATTGTTGAGATATTTCTATTGAAAATTGTTGAAATATTTCGATTGAAAATTGTTGAGAGACTTCCGAGGTGGAAAGCAGTATTATCATAGTTTATAAGCGAAGGAAGACCGGTTGGTAGAAAGTTCTGACAAGTTTAGAAAGTTTAGAACATGACGATCAATTGCTCGATGGAGGAACACGCGGAGAAGAAGGGGTTTTCTGTGAAAACCAGGGGCATCTTCCGAAAAATAGGCAGGTGGTTCCAGTGCTTTTGCAAGAAGTTGCAGAATAGTATTATGATGCTCAAACGTAAGCGGCAATAACTGTTCGTGTAACTAGTAACTTATATACCCTCTGTTATCTTCCAATTTTATTAATTTTTACATTTTTCGACGATGAAATTTTTTTAATTTTCCTCTTCCTGAATTCTGAGACCCCAAAGTTCTCCGGTTACGAAATTTTGGTATTATCCTCGACTGTTCGAATTCTGCTTTCTCTGTAGGAAAATGGGGAGGAAATTCTCTTATCTATTACAGTGGAAGGAGCTTTCTTCCGAGAAATTATCACATGGATGCTAGCCGATAGCGAAAGAGGATCAAATTACTATGTTTATAACCACGTGTACAGATAAAGTCTATTTGCAGTGTTTTTAACATACCTCGCTTATTTTAGAATACCATGTAGCATTAGTAGTTCACTATTGATAAGATAACGAGCCGTGATACCGCAGCTATTTGCTGAGATATCGAGTTAAAAAACTTTAAATTCAATTTCTTGAATATCTAGCTACTATATCCCTCTAGTCATTCTACGACGTTCATTCTACGTCCATTATCTACTATCTGGACTACTACTTCAATATTTACCCTCCCTATCACTGCCTCAGTCAACATTACTCTCGCTTCAGCAATATTAATAACACACCGAAAATTTTATTTTCATAAAATGAAGATAATTACCCCCACCGTGAAACCGAGAGAAAAAATATTTATAAATCTTCCCTTCCATCCCTATCGAGTTCAGAAACCCTGCAAGTACGCCTATATCCAGCTATACCTCCTCCAAAATCAATTCTCCACTCAAGGCCACCGACCACTAACCCCCACCACTCGACTCGCTTTCACACCTACCGTCGCAATCAAATATCAAACCTGTCTAATCCAATTTTTCTCTGCTCTACAGCTCCTCCGAGACTACAAGCCCTGAGGAACCGTGAAAATGGAGGCTCAGGATCCACCATAAGGTCGTATGCCCTTCAGTTAGCAGCAGACAAGACGACCACCTTCTCTCAGAACATCGACAACTTCATCCAATGCACGAAAGAAGGAAAAGAGGCCAGTCCACACGTGGTAATGAGGAACATGCGACAATTCATGTCCGGAATGAAGAACTACTTGGTGAAACACGGCGAGAGGGAGTTCGAGAAGGAGGTGGAGAAGGAGAGGCTGAAACTAAAGGCGAATGAGTTTTTGAACCTCGACGCGATTCTGGAGGGCGTGATGATGGGACTGGTGGTCAGGCCGCTCAGGGAACACGTTTACAGACTGTTTGTGGACCATTACGCGACTACTGGCTCGTTGCAGACCCTCGCCGAGAGCATTCAGCACGCCCAGGGGAAACACGTTCAGGATCTCGGAGTTCGAGTTAGTAACTGTTCGTTGAAACGATCATTGCATGTGGAATGGGAGTTGTCCTATCGTGGCTCGTTGTCACCCCTCCATGCGAGGGTAGAACTGTCGTTTGGCGAGCCAGCTTGAATTTTGAATGACCATGGTTGCTAGAGTTTAGTAGAAGCTAGGTAGACTTTCCTGATCCCCCTTGGGTTTTAAGTGGAAAATCTTTGTGGATAGTTATTAGCCTATTTGGATAGTTGAAGGAGAAGTAAAGATTGAGAGTAACAGTTTTATTTAGCTGGTTTAAAGAGAGCAAGAATGTACTTTGGTTTGGGTATTTTTTGGTAACTCTTGGTTAACAATGATTAGCTAGTTTTAGTATTACTCATCACTGTGTATGATACAGACTTTAATACGTCTAATTGCTTCAACGACTCTATCACAGACTAAAACAATTAAAATGTAATAATGCGTAGCTGTAATGCCGTAAGTGCTCAAAATAGATTAATAATATCATTAGTATTTTTGTTTCCAGCCAAAGATCATACCCCCATCGGAGTCCAGTTTAGAGCGGATCCTCAAGTACATCGACCGCCTTCAGAAGGCGGATTCGCCGTTGGATAAGTTGGAGAATCTACTGGCTGCCATTTCAGCGATTTTCAACTCCGTAGGTGGCATTGTAATATTTCCTCGCGTAGTACCTCTTGTTTCAGTCAAGATTTAAATATTTACTATAATGATTTTTTAGGTTAAGCACTCAAACTCTGGCAGACACGTGACGCTGGGCGCCGACGACCTTCTTCCTCTTCTAGTTTGGGTGTTGGTTCGTGGCAAGGTTGTAGACGCTGAAGTGGAGGCTGAATATATGTGGGGCCTGCTTCATCCCTCTCTTCTCACTGGCGAAGGGGGTTACTATCTAACGACCTTGTCTAGCGCAGTTCACGTTTTGAAGACGTTCAAGTCCAGCCAGGGAACGATGTCCACTTTAAACGTAAGTGACTTCGCTGTTGCTGCCTTCTGAAGCATTGCAATAAATTTCAATGATTTTTGGGTGTAGCATTGGTATATTATATTGTAAAGTTTTAGTATTTGTAAGTTCCAGTGAAGACATTTTAAATATTGTATTAATTGAGGAATTGCTGTATCATTGAAAGTATGTTTAGTAATTGCTATTTGAATTTGCCAGGGCTGTGGAACACCAGACTGTTCATCCGTACTACGAATCTTAGTACCAGATGAACTGCATGGATCCCTGAACACTAGAACGTTGCCTGTGCGACCAAATATGAATACTAGAGAGATCTGTCGCATCCTTGCACATAAAATCAGATGCACCAACCCCCAGGACTATGGATTATTCAAGCTGGTTCAAGGGGAAGGTAAGAATCAATCCTGTTTTAAATATAGAATTGTTATAGCTAGTACTAGACATTTCAATTTTCTTAACACATTCACATTTCACTCATAAAGAACTTATTACTTAATTCTTTAAGATTAAGGATATGAGGTTGATATATAGGTTCTAGAAATTTTGCTAATAACTTTTTACAAACCTTTACTGAAGACAGTATTTGAAATCCTATCTGAGTCCTACAAATCTTGCGAAAAATTTTTTACCAATTTTTACTTGAAGATACTACATGCTGCAGTGAAAAAAGCTAAATTTAGTTATTAGAATGATGAATTAAAAAATTATAAATGTAGTTGAACAGCTAAGAATGTATTAAAGTGCAACCAAAGCAACATCTACTGATATGTACTATCATAGATGAAATGAATTAAAGAAAACTGCATAATGTAATTGTTTTCTATTACAGAAACCTTACTCGGTGACCACGAGTGTCCACAAGAGCTCTCTCACTGCCTTTTCGCTTACAAGCGGATCGACGCGAAGATAGCCTGGCCCAAAACCAGTTCTTAATAGGCCTCGCGATCAGGGGCTGCTTAGGGTAAACGATATCGGTTTCGTGGTGATGAAACTAACGAGTTTGAAGCACCTGTCTCTTATTGTTAGTTTCGTTGCTAGCGTATTTACCTTTCGATCGTCTAATTCATCGCACTTTTACACGTAGGTTCGAATGGAATACCGAATTCTTCAATCTCGAGCACAAAGACCTTTTGGTAATTAGCTCTTAAAGTATATTTGAACACTGCCAGGTATAAAAAGCTTTCGAATAATTAAAATGAAGAATTTCATTGAAAGCGACCAAAGTTTAATTTAAGGAAAACAAAAGATTATGAAATTTTGTATCTTTATTCGTAAACCGCTCTAAACTAAATCTATATTCTCACATATCCGGTATTTAAAATTACTGTACTCGTCATTATTCTACTGGTCGCTTTTTAATTAAACATTTGTCAATTTTTGTAATTAGTGAAAAAGAAAAGGACTTCTTTGGCTGCGATGATCCAAAGAAACTGTATTATTTTCCGGATTATATTGCTGCTGAAGACGATTATAGTGCAATCTAGTAGTGCAATGTGTAGCTGGAAACGATCTTGAATAAGGGTTTCATTGAACGCAGCTAAAGGGTCCAACCAAAACAGCAGAATACGATCTTAAGATCAGGCAATTAGCATCCAGTCGAATCTAATTTACTTGCAAACAGGTGCTAAAGCATCGGATCAACTGAATAGAGCCTTAGCTCTACGAGATTCAGTTTGTCTATTAGCACTGGAAACACGAGTTTTCGAACAAATTTCCGCCGAACGACCGTTTCTCTTTCGCGAACACGTGAATAAAATGAGATAAAGGATCGTGTATTACTCAGTATTCGATATTTTGCAAAACTCTACGATAACGAAGCTACTGATTAAGTCTCGTTGGTGAAGTAGGGTTCAAATCGAGGGGGCTAATAGAAATTCTCCACGTTGGAGCAGGAAAACAAAGGTTTTGGACCTTTTACTTAGAAAAGATAAATCGTAGGCGTCCTTCGATTTCGAAACCTACAGAGAGAACACTATACGTTTTTTACGGGATGAAGTCTCTAATAAAAAGAATAACCAAATGTCTCTACGGTGTGTCTTTGGTGATATAAAAATTTCATAAGAGATAAAGATTCATTAATTTAAGAATTATGTTAATTCCTATTTGAGAATAATTTGTAGCTTACTAAAAGATTTTTTTGTGTCTTTGGTGATATAAAAATTTCATAAGAGATAAAGATTCATTAATTTAAGAATTATGTTAATTCCTATTTGAGAATAATTTGTAACTTACTAAAAGATTTTTTAATGTCCTTAAAACTTTGAAAAATAGAGTTGTAGCAAGGCTATTTTTATTTTTTTATTTTTTTGTTTTTGAAAGCCTACACTTTTCATATTTTATATTTCAGTATATTATCTAATTGTATCTCATTAAGGAAAAGAATTTAATGAACAATTTTATCTTACATGAATCATTTATATACCACAGGAGATCAGAGACATCTGGTTAGTCTTTATTAGTGGTGGTTCAAGCCTAAAGTATAACCGAGCAAAAACCATGAGAGGATTACCTCTTGATACAAATTTAATATTAGACTTAGGAGCACGAAAGGCTAGTTTAGACTCTATTTTAAGTACTTTCTCGACGAGACGTTGGCGGATTATACAAGCAATCTGTACTTTTAGGCGTACGTCGCATATTTATTGGGAAGTTGTACACAATATTTTACTATCATTCGTCGGATGTTTCCTTTCATTACGCGCGCGCGTGTCGCTTCTTCCTTTCTCCGAATCTGCCAGGCTGATTTGCTCACCTAATATTATTATAAAAGGCTGTGGAACTAATTAATCTCTCTCCAGAAATGAGTAATTAAATAACGAGCAGAGTTCGACCATGTTTGTTTTCGGAGCGTGAATGGGGGTTGAGATTGGGGTGGGGGTAAGTCGTGGAGCGAATATTTTACTACTGAAACTCTCGTACAAATCAGCCTTGCAATTGTTATTATTGTCTTAATAAGAAAACAAAAAAAGTGAAAAATAACACGATGTGTAGCCCTCGATGATACGTGTAACGATAATAATTATTAGCGATTTATAAATGTACATTTCTCCTTTATATGTCGTACCTAATTTATTACGAAGCGAATTTTTAATACCTGTAATGTCGTAATTAATAATTCCCTCTGCATTAAACGTGCTTTCGATCCTCCCCCGAATCTAATTGATTACGATTAACCGTAACGTTAATGCTTCTAATATGCTAGTCAAGCCGATACAAATCAGAAGTTTGTAAAAGAGTACCGTTCTCTCCTCTATTTTCTCTTCTATCTATCTGTCCCTTTTGTAAGTGTAACTTTTCACGTGATAGTTTTTACTTGTTGAAAACAAAAGTAATATCATTGATTATCAATTATTCTCACCTTTATTACGATTATTGATTATTATTACTATTGTAACGTGTAATACTATGCTCAATAAAAACTTTTCTATAATTCGAATTCAATGGAACAATGCTAATGTGGTCCATAAATAATTATGTAATAAAATTTTGTAGGCTGCGAAACTTTCGCTTTCTCCTTTCATTATTTTTTTCTTTTTTTCTTTTCTTTCTTTATATCTTGTAACTGTAAGACGTGTGTTAGTAACGGAGCAACTGGACTTCTACCAGGAAAAGATGATTACACGGTTAACAATAGCCCCGATAATGCGACGTGTGACATATTTGCATGAAAATTTTTATTTGGTATTATAAGAGCGCGCATTCGTGCCGTCTGGCAATCAAGATGAACCAAATATTATCGATGAACAGACTGTCGATATTTATAACCACGTTTGTAATGTTATAAATAACTGACCAATCTTATCAGCTTGTAATGTTGGCGCGAGATGCGATAATGGTCTTTACTATACGTGATCTAAGCATGAATTACTACTAAAATCATGTGGCAATATGATTAAATTGATAAGAAGAAAAAGGAAGTTTTATTGAATAAAAAGTACATCAGGAAAATATTTAAGAAAACATTTAAAAAAGAGGAAAGTAAAAAAGTAAGGAAGCTGTACAAGCAAGATACTATAAGAAAGGAGAAATTAAATGTTGAACAATTTTCCTAATGGGAAACTAGTATTAAAATATACAGAATTAAAGAAAATAAAATAAAGTTTGTTAGCAACAAAACTTTAATAAAATTTGAAAACACGAATACAATGTTGCTTAAAAGTGCACATGTTTTAGATTGTCCTTAATATAATAAATATTTGGATGCTTTCTAAGCAAAGGAGGCAGATGAACAAGGATTACAAGTGGAAATATTTATTATAAATCAAAACTTACATATTATTTAAATAACAATACTTGCACCTGAGAGCTACAATACCCTAAACAATTTGATTATAAAATAAAGCGACTACTTTCGACCATAAGTGAACATTAAACCTTATTTCTAATATTGTATCACATCTGTTCTTCAATTGTAAAGTAGATTATCGATTAACGCTAATCCATGCCCCATTATTAAATTCATTTGAGATAAAAGATAAATTACATTTTAAGAAGAAAAAAAAACAAACAAAAAATTAACCCCTTTCATACGGAAAAAAAATTACTATAACATCTAATAAACTATAATAAAAGCCCAAAATAAAGCGTCTAAGAATTACATGTGCTTTGGCCGCATATGCGATGCTGAGCATGCATTATAAATGGATCTCTGATGAGATTTACTCCACATGAGTTTAAAAACTGACTAATTAAAGCAGTCAATGTTACATATCATATAAATAACTGCATATCATTTAACTGAAGTTAAAAGATTAATCCTAATTAGATTGCACATAAATTGCACTTAAAGATACTATTAAAATCCAGCTGTGATAATTGTGAAAAAATTGTTTTATGGTGCGCTATATTGTGCTGATAACCAAGATACCAAGAAGCAAAAAATATCTCTGTTAAGGTTGATTGGTAAAATAAAAAGCACCTAAGACAGAATAAAAACTACTAATTCTAGGCCTCCAAGCTCTCAGGCGCAGAATATGATAGCGTATATCAATAAATGCATATTTTTCCAGGGTAATGAGAGCACACATGAAAATCAAATGAAAACATGTACTAAGAGAATGAAGACAATTAATGACAGAGGGAAAATGATTACTTAAAACTGACTAAGAGTCATCGATATACGCAGAACCTATCATTGAGGTCGTATCCGTAATTACGAATCAAAATTCATCCTCGTAAAATCGAAATCAAATCATCGTCTTGCGACCAATATTGCATAAAAATTGAGAATGAACTATCGCTACGACTGTAAATGTTTGCTATACATCCATATCCTGGGTGTAATCTTAAATCTTTTGAACTAGGCCAGTCCAATGGAACCCACATTATAAAAATTTTGCAATCAAATGAAAGACTTTTTAATTCTTTCACAATTATTTAATATACACATGCGAATAGTGTTAAACAAGCAAGCAGCCATTGTGTAAAAGTTGCTCCTTTTTTCAATTTGTTATATTATTCTTATGCAGCATTCTTATGCATATTGTAATAATATTATTAATAATTTACCAGTAGCTCTTTGCAAGATTAGCTTGTTCGTTGTCATCAAATAATGATGAAAATGTCTCATAAATAGATTACATTAGCTACTTTCTGGCATAGTATTTCTAAACACAATTATAGTTGCCTTCCATCGGCAGTTGCTATGGAAGCAATTATAATTACTGTACAATACGAATAAATTATTAATTATTCGTAATAATGATTTCCATGCTTGTTCATGTATTCATCTCAATGATTATAGCGCAAAACATGATCATTATCAGTAATTGAATGTAGCAAACGGTATAGCTATTAGCCATTATAGCAACTGATTTCGCAATGAAATATTAGTTAAATGACATGTGCTGTATGAAACTGACAGAAAATGACAACGCTGTATTCGAAACACAAATGTGAGGTCTTTAACTCGAACAAAGCTTAAATCTACCGTGAGGACTCGACTAATTCAAATGATCATCATTCTCTATCGTCGTAATTGCTCAACGATCTCAAAGGATTTCTCAAACTTAGTTTTAATTCATAGCCGATTACAATATAATTCCTGACTTTCGAAAGTATACGATATTCAGCACGAATATTACAAATTTACCAATGGAATCCTTGTTTCGCGCACTCCAATAAAAGTGTCTCCAGAAAAAAAAGAAAAAGGAAAGATCTAGAACTTTCGGTTTCCTCCTCTTCAAAATAATTTAAATAATTGCAATCTTATAATACAACGTATAATATCCGTCATGCTCGCACTAGTATCGTCGTTTAAACAACGGAACATACGCAAAGAGAATAAATTAAATATTTGCAAATATGTAAATATATAATATAAGTACTTAAATGTACGATTATAAATAGAACAGAGAAATCAACATCGCCCGGCAGATTGGCTCTTTCAATTTCTTTCAGCTTGTTTACACGTTATCTTTTTGCTTAATTAAACTCCACGACAGAAATGAAAAGGAAAACGCGACTCTCCCCCTTTCAGCTTGTTACACTCTTTAATATGACAATGAATATACTCGCATTATTCTAACGTGCACGGTGTATGTGTATTTTCATGTGTATAAGAATACATTCAATAATGCTAAGCGACATACAAATGTTCCCCATATGTTTAAATATGAATGCCTTTTTCTCCTGGCTCTTTCAGAGCCTCGATCGACAGAAGCTAGAGCTCGTGGAATGATTACACGTTATCGCGGTACTTTAAATATGGTATAGTGATCAACAAAAGGGATATGTATACGTGTATACGGTCTGATCGGATGCATGTAGATGTAATATGGACGCATAATGTCTGAGAAGAAAACTGTTCGTCGCTCTTACTGCACAATGCGAGGAAAAATTCAATATATCGCGATTTTCTTTTTTACTTTTTGGATCAATGTAACTTGCAACAGTGAATTCTCTCTCGTTCCTCTATCGGATAGACAAAAAAAACGCAAAAAATTGACTTGGATTCTGTGTTTTTGATTTAAGTACACGATCGAAGCAGGATAAACCAATTCGCCTTGCAAACATTCTGTGTTTCCTCTCTTTGCTTTTTATTCCAAATGGTCAGTCGCTAGCACGAAGCCATAATCGTCCCGTATCGAGCACGAGCAGCAACATGGAGTACTTCATTACGGTGCGTCTGATTGATCGAGAAAAGCAGTTGGAATGTGCTGTTATACGTTAAACGATTCACATTAAGTGGACGTCAGTCAATGTTTCAACTAAACAATGCAGAGCCCTTTTATCAACCTTGCGTTATCGTTTCGCGTATAGTTCTCTTACGTAGTATCCTTTACTGCGCGTGAACGTAATACTTCCGGTCCTGAAACAGAAGAGGATAAGACTTTTCTAGAGATACGTGTTTAGGAGAGTTTCGAAGAATCTCGTGCCTTCAATGCAACATATTCTCTTCCGACAATGGAGTCTAGAAATCTGAATATTAAAATCCAGGAAAAATTCCAAGCGATTATCGTCGATTAAAAAAGAACGCTAACTTTCTATTAAAGACACAAGATCTATAACGAAAAACCTGATAAAAATATTACAGAAGCTGGAAAAAAAGATGGTATTAATTCGTATGTACCATGGCAAGCAAGGTCTCGATATCGAATATCAACATTTCATAACATTTACAACAATTAATTACTGCTCGCACAAGGGGTAATGATTCCGAGTATATACACAAGCCAAATGATACAACTTCCCATGCTAGCTACGGGCATTACATATAGAGGGAGCAGTAATTAATGGCCACGACACAAAATGGTTCCCAATCGTGATTTTCATGTTAAAAAGAAAACACCTGCACTCTGGCAATATCTAAAAACAAGGAAAAAACGTGATGAGTAGAACGATGGTAAACATGGTGATCGGTAACGGTACAAAAAGAAAATTAATTATGATAAAGGACTCTGTGCATCGACATAAAACATCGGGAATGAAAAATTAAAAATTTAAAAAAAAAAAAAGGAAATAATAAAAAAATTGTTCTACAAATTCTACGAATACGCACCTGCTACAGAGACCCGGTTTACTTTCGTTCCGGTAATTTGGTGTCCAGACGAAATTGTACTCCAGAGTGACATCCTTTTATCTAAGTCCCGGCCCGCAGAGTACTCAAATCAAAGCGAAACAAAACGACAACGCAGATATCGAAAAAACGACTGGTAACAATGGTGGTTAAGAAACACAAATGGCGTGCGAGGAAAATTAATAATGCAAACCTGTTATATACGCATTCTCGGTTTCATACAAGGACGTCTACGTATGATTTTGGTTATCACAAATATAGAGAAAGAAACACAGACATAGAACATGACAAGGATACCATGAGGCACAACACCCCTTATCGAGTAACTAGGAAACCATGTTCAGTTAAAAAATAATTTATTCTTTCGCTCGTTAAAGTCTCAAGGCACTACTTATATTAAATAATTCGACTTTCGTAGTAATTGATTGTGAGTTTAAACATTGTCCATATAATCGAATAACATTCTTATTCTTTTATCGCTTTTTATATCTGAATAGGAAGATCGAAGTTTAGAACGTAGTAGTGGAGAATAAAAAATGTGATATAAGGTGCCCCGAACGATAATAAATCTTTCCGTATATACTCTTGAGATCTTTTTAACGTAAAATCATTTGTCACACAAATGAGGATCATTTAAAAATAACATACGTGTATATAAATATATAATATAGCAAATTGCACGAACTACATCCTTAACAAATATAATACTTTTAGACGAGGAAAGATAGTAAAATTTTTATGGAATAATTTCGAGACACCTCACATCGTGTGAAAAATGTTGGACACAATGTTACCCTAAGCCAAATAAAAAGTTCCTTTTCGTAAAGGGCAAGGAAAAATTATGTGTAAAGTTAAACGTATGTTAATTACATGAAATGAAAGAACGAATGTAAACCGATGACTCGAGACATTCGAGGCTCGAAGAAGACTGTCTTCTCTTGCGTTAAAAATCAACAACAAATTATGCATACAAGATTATCGTAAGAACAACCTGTCACAGAAAATAATTCTTCGTATGTCGAACTGCAAATCGTTAGATTGATTATTAATCTCCTTTGCACATTATTACGAAATGGTCACCTTTGCAAATCTATACTGAGGTATATAGTTAAGCAAAAGCTGCTGCTAAAATTGACTACTGTCGTCTGTGTGCGTAGTTTCACGGTTTTCTGGCTTATGAGAAATATAGCTAGAGCATAGAAAAGGTTGTTTTTTAACAATTGGTATAGTTTTATCTCAGCCAAGAGTAACACGTGAAACAATCAACTCGTGTAATTTCATTACGAAAATAATTATCTCTGGAAGCTTATTGTTTTATTCTAATTGCTTTCTATACGATTGTGTATAATACAAGCGTAAAAAGTTTGAAATAGTTAATGATAATTACAGATAAATAATGCAAAGTGATAAAAACAAAATGCTTTGTAAAAAGCACCTCTGTCAAATCTGGATAAATTTACTTTTTTTTTTAAATACGGGATATAAATATCCTTAACATTTTATTTAAAAACAAAAAATCGGCAAAAAGACAAACACAAAGAAATCAATGAAAGGGCAACGTTATCACAGCTTACAAGTAGGAAGTGATCTGTAAAAGACTATACTTTTTCTACGCGATATTTTTTCAAGAAAGAAACAGTTAATAATTGGAAATAGCAAGGTACGATTATTGAAATACTTGTATAGTAAATGTAATAAAAGAATGTGCAATTATGATGTGCTGTCGTCATCGTTAATCGGGAATATCTGACTGCGAGAAAAAACAATATATCAAATGCCCAAAAAATTATCGAAGGCCCACTCCTATAATCAGAAGCTATAAATTCCTATAAATGCTTGCATTTCAGAGGAATTATCAAAAACATTTTGAAAAAGATCGTGAATTCCTCAACGTATTCGGAGTACACTATCGTGGAATTTAAAAATCGATACCTAAATTCAACTCCTCTCAAACAATCGTACGCTTTTTTTAAATAATTCTTTCTCATTCTAGAAATATAAATTTTCGATGCAATATACATCGAAGATCACCGTGCGACCGGGCATAAATCGAACGACAGGCAATGCTACAAACGAAGAATATCCTATGTGGAAGAGTGAATCCCGAAAGCTTGAAAGATCTTGTTTTTAAAACCGGGTTTGTTAGGACTAGCGTCGTTGTGGCCAGACTGTCCTTCATGTAGCGCCCTTTGTACCAGCGGCAGCGAGCCCTGTGATTGTGTGTTGTGTCGCCAATTCGTCAGAACGGGCCGGATAACGAAAAAAGAACAAAAAGAAAGAAGAAAAGGATAGTAGACGACTAATCGTGTGCTACAACATGCAGTGCAACTAACATATTACTTGTATCCGACACAACTTACCTCGTCATGTTGCTCGTGTTCGCTGTTGGTTAAACTGGATCGTGAGCCGCGTCTCGTCGATCCTTTTTCTTCCCCTAAAATCTGTGCGACTTTCCCTTGTTTCACGAACTCCAATGTCTGCATCAAAAGAAACAGAACATCAATTTAAATAACAAATGCCTACAGGTTTCAGGCCATTAAAATAATCTTAATATTTTTAATGATACATCTTTCTATAAAATATAATGTATTCAATTAAATCAGTTTTACATTGTATTCATTTATTTCATATTGTATTATTTATATTTTGGTAATTTTTTTTACTGTACTAATTTTATTACTGATACAGTAAAAGTAAAAAATATTTATAGCTAGTTCATAAAAATTCATAATCAATTTACCTCTTTTCGTGACCTGAAAGCACAATCTTCTAGAGTTTCTGCTGCCTCGTATTTTCCTTGCCTTCGGTATAATGCACCAAGATTCTTTAAAGTTGTCGTGACTGTAGGTGAGTCCACCTTTGCAGCTTTGTGCCAACCTCCATATTCTCCATATGGAGCATTCTCTTTATTTTTATGTTTATTCTCTTCTCTTTCTTCTGCAACCTGAAACAAAGATATTTGCCTTGTTATTATAAAATCTTACATCTCACATATCACCTTTAAAAACACTAAAAGCATCCTTACCTGCCAGATTGGTTTATTATCGCCAGCAATAGCTCCAAATTCCTTTTCGTGTGCCCTAGTCAATACTTGTTTGTATAAAACTTCCGCGTCCTTATATTTTGCCTGCTTCAAATAACACGATGCCAAATTATTCTTTGTCTTCGCGACATTAGGATCGTCCAGACCAAGTTTGTCCTCGTAGATTTCTAACGCTCGCAAGTAATAGCGCTCCACTTCATCGTATTTGCCCTGATTCTGACAGAGCAACGCCAGATTATTTAGCTGTTTCGCGACATCAGGATGATCGTGACCGAGAACCTTTTCTCGAATATCGAGAGCTCGTTTGCATAGTGGTTCAGCTTCTTTGTATTTACCCCGCTTTCCATATAAAACAGCTAAGTTGTTCAACGTAGCAGCAACTGCAGGGTGATTTTCACCGAGTGTCTTTTCACGAATAGCCAAAGCATCATTCAATAAGTTTGCTGCTTCTTTATATTTATTTTGATCTCTATACACTAAAGCAAGGATATTCAACATCGTGGCGACGTCAGGATGATCATGACCAGAAGTCTTTTCTAGATCCTCTAACGCTTGTTTGCATAGAGGAACGGCGACCTCATAACGGCCTTGACTCGCATACTGTATAACCAAATTGTGCAGCGTACGCAAGCGCGCAGGTATCTCGTATCCAGCGTTTACTTGTTGTGCCAATTGCGAATGCGGTGTTGGTGATGTTGCTGCAATAAAGATGGCAGATATTGCAAAAAGTGGTAACAGTGGACTTAAGCCTGTGTGAATACGTAATGTTATAATGCATCCTTCAATCATGACTTGAAATCTAATGGAGAAAATTAGAGAACAGTTTCAGTAAAATCCCTTCATGTCATTCACACAGACTTAAAAAGAAATTCAAGCACCTAGCAGAGATGCTTGATGATAAACAAAGGTGAAGCATACATACATTTACTATTTCGGTCGTCCCTATCATCATCGGGGAATAGATCAACTACGGGATCATCTGGTGGTTTGTTTTTAGCATTGTCATCATCCACAGATGGATCAGGATCATACTGCTTCATACTTTCCATGAAGTCTATATGATGCTTTTCCTCTTCCATTTGGACTAGCTAGTGATGTGATAAACATTACAATTTTTCTTACTATTTCACTACATGTAACATATTTCATGTAATTTGATTACTGTGGGGAGGCGAGCGGTGGACACTAGCAATCTATTAAGAGTGATAGCGGGGCGAATGAGTGTGCGGAGTGCATGGAAGCATTGGGGGCCTTCTCGAAAAAGCGAGACGGTATCGGGTCCAACGCGAAAGAACAAACGATAGCGGCAAATCCTTTTGTCGAATACTCGAGAAGGAAATAATGCGTATGGAAGGAGATAGGTTTGGCTATAAGTAAGGATGCAAGGACGCGAGGCGGTCAGATTAGAAGAGTGTATGTAGTCGAAACGTAGAGAATAGAGGATCGTGTGTTTGAGAGTTGGAATTGAAAGGAACTTAGTTTAATATGTTAATTAAATAAAGCAGTTTTATTATTAAAAGGGAGTTATTGTTTGTTAGACGCGCAGATCTCTGTCTGCGTAGGGTTAATGAAATTGGGGACTCGTCCGAAAGTAAAAAGTGCAAGTCCTACATTACTTACTGCTTGTTCACTGGCTAGCAATTTTTCCTGTGTTCCAGCCAACTCATCTCTTAACCAGGCATTCTCTTGGTACAACCTTCTTACTTGTGTTCTAAGTTTTTGTTTTTCAGCCTCTACTATTTGTAAGTGGTTCGCAAGAGCAATCATAACTTGGGCCTCAACAATGCCCAACTCTATCCGTTCAATATTTTTTGATAGCAAGTTAACTTTGTCTCTTGCAACTGGTGCATCCTGAGTTTGCAGGGCTTGTAACAGTCCCCCATGTTCTAGACGTAGGGCATCCAACCCTTGGATTACAAACTTGGCGCCAGTCACAATTTCTTCCTGCGTCAAGGCCGTCATTCTACCAATATTTTCTATCTTTTTGCTAAAAATTGAAAGAAGCAAATTTTAACAAAGATTCAATTGAAAAGAATGTATTAAAATTTGATAATCATTTTTACTTTAAATACTAATTTTCTTTTTCGATTGAATAATTTTACAATTGAGAGTAGAATTTTGTATTCTAATTTATATTAACATTAACTATAACGCAATTATTATAACAACAAGTACATAGTGATAACAAAGTTGCATTTTGTGTAGCCTCTTGCGATTATAACCAAGGTAGAAAGCATAAAGAAAAATGTAAAAACAGAGGTAAACGGTATTTGGAACGACTTGCTTTACGCGCCAATAATTAACCGCAATCAAAAATAGGCATCACGAAGTATTTCAGTCGAGGCAAGCAGAACGTATCCGGCATTTGTATACACGGAGTACGTTTTCAAGCCTAAGTCGGTTAGAATAATTTTGTTTTTGCATAACTATACAATCTTATTGATTCAGTCACTAAATACAACAATTTAAAACAGCTTTTGAAGCACTCGAACACCCATTATTGTAAAATTAATTCGAATAAAAACTTACCCCATGTCAGGGCCACGTTAAATCCACAGAAATCAATGGTTTAGTATATACGCGCATGCGCAAATGCCGCGGCGCTTCTTGTATGCGACGCAATATACCAAGTAAAAGTGAATTTCCAAGGATGAAAAGCTAGCAAAATTCTTACGCGTCACAGAGTAGATTAATATTAATCAGAGAAATATTCATAAGGATCGACTAACGACATGATGAAGCACAAGAATTAATCTGCAGACAAACTCATTTCAGTGGAAAACTTACCCCATGTCACGATCGCGTTAAACCCAAGCGAAATCAATGGCTCAGTAGCTCTGCGCAAACGCAAGCACCATGGCGTGCTCTTTTATGCGACAGAATATATATAGGTATATAGAAGATGGTGAAATTTCGAGAAAAGGGAAAATTCGCAATGCCGAGCTCAATCGATAAATACGACCGGAAGTATGGGTTCGTAAAGGGAAACGGGAAAATTATTGACGTCGTCAAAGCCAGGTCAGGATTTCAGGGTTCTGTACCTGTAAACCTTGACCTCGTGCAATCGTCCTTCCAAACAAGCCTTGACCTCGCTATTCCGATTGAAACACTGCATCGGTTTAACAAATGGACTTGAGCAAGACTATTTTGTCTTCTCAACATTGACAGCAACTTCCGGCGAATTGATTTCTTCAAGGACTACGACGTGAAATGGTAACATTGTTACGAAGTTGTCAGCACGACAGTCTTCGTGAATCGACTTTCTAACATAAGCAATGAAGAAGCGTGGCGAGAAAAGCACGAAAGCCTAAAAGTCAATATATTGATTTTTTTTAAACCTGCATCATAGAATATCAACAACGAAAGTAAATATTATAACTAATAACTAATGGAACGAGCAATATGTAACGATATTTTTCATGTTGACATTTTTCCTTCGTCGACATATTGCGACGTCTGAACGCTTCTGAATTTACGAAGAAAATTATTTTCATTCGATCACGCATGCAAAGGTTTCTTCAATAGCGTGTATCTGATCATTTTGTTGAAAAAACTCAGTAAAAAAACATATTGTACACGAAGTTTCTAATGAAAGTGTGCGGCAATTAGTAAGTGCTTGGTATGTTTACGTAAAAACGCAGCAGTGTAGGAATGTCTGAACGAATAGTGGTAGTAAAAAAAAAAAGAAAGAAAATGGAAAAACTGATAGTAATCAAAATGGATTGTATAAGGATTTGTAAGTAGGGGAACTACTCACATTCTATAAGCGTTCAGCGTTTTTGACATATCTGTTCTACCCATCGGTAATGTTGGACTCTGTTGGACCTACCTAATCCGTGTACAAAAAAAATTTACTTTCTACTATATCGATCTGTCTCTCGTTTCTTCGCGAACAGTCGCGATCGTATTGTCACTTTCAGTCAATCGAATTTGTCGTAAAAAAGTCATTTATCCCCTTTTCAAACGTACAAAAATAGAATCTGTACAATATACATAAATATATATATACGGTATATCCCGCAATGTGATTTTAAAGGGGGGACACCTCGCGGAATCGCGTTTAATTCTTTACTGAAGGCTAACGTTTGGCTTCGCACCCTTTGCACGAAAGACCGACACAGCGGGGCGGAAGGGGATGGAAAGATTGCGCATGCGCTTCGATTTCATGGGTGTTCCTACAACTGCACAAAGTATGTGCATGGACACCGGTATGTCCATGTCAAGTATACACAATAAAATGAATGATACATTTCTACGTTAAGAAAAGCTTTGCGACGCTATAGACCCATACGCAAATAACCGTCAGTCGGTCAGTAGGAATAACCAGAGGGTGCGTAAGGGTGCGATGAATGAAGCTTCTAAGAGAGGGTGCCACACGTGTATGACACTTAACACTTTACGGAAACCAGAATTGCGTCTGCTTTTTATAACTTCTCCCGTCTAAACTTTTCATAAAGCCGAACACATAGGTCGGTAAAGTATATAAATAATCATAGAATTTATATTACTTTTTTCTATTCCTATTTTCCCTGCTCCTCACGACTTTCTTTAATATAATTAATGGTACTAAAATGAGTCACAATGAGCAAATATATAAAAGTATATCGTACTAATGAGAATACCAGTGCGCAGATACATATCATATAAACAAATGTTCATGTAAAGGAACAGCGATAATTATTTTTGAACTAATTAATTCGTCTGGAACAGTCTAACAGTCTCTCCTAACACCACGAGGCACACATAGAGCGCCAGTTTTCGCAATCTTTCTCGCTTCAAGGGGAATAGAGACCAGCGGTTGCCGATGACTCACGGCATGACGACAGACATTGCAAGTGCTGTACCATGTGCGCCTATCGTAGTGTACTACATGGAACCATATCCACTGAACACATAAAATTGCTTTCACGAATTTAATTCGACGAACCTGTCGAGGAGAATGTGGTAGAGCGATTAGATATACGACTTTTTTAAAACTCTTTCATTTATCACAACTTAACAATTTTTATCAAATATTTTATTCTATTTATTAGAAATTTGTTTCTATTAAGAATCATAGTATAATAATAAATATTTAAAAGTTTAAAATAAGATTCAAAAAATGTTTGAGAAAATAATACTACCAGAACTGCGTAGGTGGCCTTAGAGGGTAGCATCTTACGTGTGAAGTTGTATGTATGTGTAAATATGCGCGCGTGTGTATATATATGTATATATGCATATATGTATTACAAATCGATAAAAGTATTAGGAAGAACACGTGAGTGAACATTTGACGTAAAACAGGGTAAACAATATGTATACTATGTATTTAACAGAATTATCTTCCATTGTGAACCACTACTCCTTTGTTAAAACTGAAAGACAAAAAATATAACAATTTTTAAACACTGGAAATTTAAATTCGATTTCAATTTAAATTCTAAATTTATATTTAAAAAAAATTAAATTGTAGAGGATAACAATAAAATATTTTATAATTTTCGAATTAAATTTATAAAGAAAGCGTTGACTTTCGAGAATAAAATTTTGCATTGGATTTTCGAAAGTATATTAAAAAGGGGTCAGTGACAGTGCTGGTAAATGCAATGAATGTTTCAATCGCAAATGGTCATGGCAACGTGAAACAATTGAAATTCTATATTTGTAAAGAGTAACGGCAGAACCGCTGATTGAAATTCATATCGCACATTATTTCGAATTTTATTTATATATAAGGAACTGTGATGACAGTTCATTAAATATTAATTAGAAATTATATTATGCAAGTTCTTGTAATATCTAAACAAATAATTAAAAACTGAAATCATTTTGTAGTTTTATAATTTTTTAGAGGTTAGGAATTCGAAGTTCGTAATACGGTTGGCAATTGAATATCCGTGTAGGAATCTTGATTCCTTTAGATGTTTACAAATGCATACCAAAAATAATCTAAAAATCACGCGAATATTCACAAACGAAAGGATCATTGAATTCAAATAGTTTTATTTTCACAATTCTATCTCCACTTATCTGGCATTGTGGTTAATCTGAGCTTATCTACTAACATTTATGTAACGACATCAACGAATACATAACAGAGCACTGACACTATAAAATCATTTATCTTCATGCGAGTTTCAATTCCCTTTAGCGAATTAGTGAAAATTCTATAAGACGAGTTCCTTTCTAAATGTTCCAGAACAGGGATAATCATCATCACAATCGTCATGGTCACTAGTTTTCTGTCATGGTTCCACAGAATCTTACGGAAACGAATGAAAACAATTGCTTCCGGCTGTAACCGTCTGTCGAAGGCGTGGCAATTTAAAATTGAACGAATCGACTACTCTCCATTTGTACCAACAAGGGAAAAATATTTGATAAGTCACGTATGATCGAAAACTTACCCTTGTGAATGGTCCACGCAGGAATTTTCTCTTGTTCAGTGTATCATTCCACTTCCTTCATAAAGGGCAGAATGCCTCGATGTATAAGTCGAAGACAAACCTTTAAGAGAATCTTTTTACAGTGGACAAATAGGTTTTTACAAGCTCAATCTGTACAATATTTTACAATCCGTGCGTAGATGATGTACAATGATTCGTTAGCAGCGATAACATTGAAAAAAGTAAATTCCACTCACCGATCTCGGTCACGAATTCACTGTAAAATAATTTCCACGATGCGAAGGAATGTCGATCGAACTCTCGTTTGGAAATTGTCTCCTGCGGCAAGGAGGAACGCAAGAAAAGATGCACTAAACTTTATGTCCGCACGTTTGATGACAGACTAAAATGGCGAGAACCGTGTAAGTTAATAAAAGTACAGTAACCACATATTTCACTGTTCGGATATCGAATAAACAAGCACTGAGCGTAGTTTTCACTCTCGCGATACTATGGACTTCGATGAAATGACGTACGGATTGAAAATGCGTTTCTTAGAACAAATGATTAGACTACAAAATTTTTAGAATATATGTCGACCGTCAATCGATCGTAAAAACGCGACTGAAGCGACCCTATCCGCTCGCAGCGCCAGTTACCGGAATTTTCTTAAACTTCGGTCGGTTTCCATGAAGCGACATATTATTTTATGTGTTCTTTTTTTTATAAACAATATCATTACTTTAATTATTGTAAACGATCGAGATGTTATAATACCCACCCAATCAGAATTAAAATTCCGGTGACTAAATAGTTGTATACGTGAAGTAACTAAATATTTATTAAATCATTAATGGTTCAACCTCACTAAAGCAATAACGAAAAATGCAAATAACGATGACTGTTATTCGTAATATTTATTTTTAGTAAGTTATAGTACATTACACTGTGCATGATTCATAAATGAAGGAAACGCATTGGAAATAAGAAGTACAATATATTGCGGTAAACCATATTTATTTGAATAATTATTTGAATAGTAAATAGATACAATAGAGAACGCTTTTAGCAGGCCAACTTCCCAATAACGGCAGAGAACTATCAATATCTTTTTTTCGTCTAAAAGAGATGCGTATTAAGGTATAGAAGCATCATTTTTATTTTTTTAAATCTTTCAATAATTAATTAGGAATAATGATATAGGTAATTCGTAATCGCCTTATTAAAAACAATTAAAAGTATTACCGTACAGATAAATATTGCTAACTTGGAAACAGTTAAAATTTCTCATACATATAATGGCATTTATAATCACTCCTTGGCCTAAAATAACAAAATGCTATACTATAATAAGAGATTGCATTGCGACTCTTTGTATCGTCTGACAAATGATCGTTAGTCATCGTTTATCGGACATATTTTTCTATCATTTTTCCTCTATTTTTCATGTCCGACTACTGAGCATCTTTTCATTTTTTTTTTTAAATGGCATCAATATCAAAATCATCCTCATCATCCGAGTCTTCATTGACTACAGCAGGCTTCTGTATAGGCGGTGACTTTTGCGGCTTTAATGATTGTTTGGCTCTATCATCGTATTCAATCTATAAAACAGACAAATATAATAGTAATTTGATATTATAAAAAAAATTATGTAAAAAAACATTTACCTCCAAATCGTCGTCTTCTTCTTCTGATTCGGAATCTTCTTCTTCTGCTTCTTGTAACCAGGTTAAGAATGGTGCAGCTTTATCGTGAATTTCTTGGCATAGATCTTTTGATACGTATTTTTTAGTTACTTTGCTCGACCACTCAAACAAAGCTTTTTCTTCTAGAATATCAGCATCGTAAAAGAGCTAAAACGATAAACAAGGATATCTCGTTACGTGCTA